GCGGAGATACATGGCGTATGAGTAACAAAACTACATGCCCATAACTTGTATGTACATTAGGGTGGCCCTTGTTTCGAAAATGGCTCGGATTCTTGGTCTCAACCCCAAGAAATATGTGAATAGCCTAAAGACTAAACTATATAAAGTTTTAGGTCAATCAAAAAAGATTTAGAGGTCGCTCAAGGTGCTCAGAGTTTCTCATCTACTTCACATGGGGAAAACATAATTTTTCGTAGAAATGGTATAGAGTCCTTGGGAATCAATACTTTTCAACCGGCAAACTCTTCTTTTCTTCAGGAGACTTCCAGAAAAAATACCCAATTGCTTATTTAACAATTTATTAATATCAATTATTTTTTATGGCTCCAAAAGCCCAAAAAAATGCAATGGGGGACCCATAAAAACCGTTAATATTAAACAAATTTTAAATAAGTAATTGGGTATTATTTTTTGAAGTCTCCTCAACAGAGTTTGCCGATTGAAAAATATTGATTTTCAAGGATTCTATAGGATTTCTATGAAAAATAGTTTTTTTCCATATAAAATACATGAGAAACTTTGAACGCTTTGAGTCACCTCTAAATTTTTTTGATTGACCTAAAACTTTAAACAAATCTCCTATCAAATTTAGAGATGTTATCGTTATTTTTAAACAAAATAGTATACTTTTCTTGGCAAGTCGGTATGTTTGTATTCCGTTGGGGAATTATTTCGACCTCAAGACCGGATTGACTGCTCTATGGCCGAGTGGATAAGGCACAGACGTGCCAATCGAGAGATCCGAGTTGGAGTTCTGGTGCAACGGAGTCTTTTTCTGTTTTTTTCAGTCCACATTTTTTTCTTTTCTAATTTAATTCTTCTTTTTTTTATTTTTAAAAAGGATATACATATATATTTTTTTAATTTAACTTAACTTTTAGAAACTTGTTTTATTTATTTTGTCTTTTTTAATTTAATTACTTTTTATAGAACATTTTTAATGGTTTAGTTGTAGTTTTTGAAAAAATGAATACTTTTTTAATTTCATAAAATTTTTTGAAACTTATTCAATTTTTTCTTTTTAAATATTTTTTTCTTTTGGTTTTTTTAATTAAATTTTCTTTTAATATTTTTGGTTTTATTGTGTGAGAAATAAGAAATATTTTTTAAATTTCATTTACTCTTTAGAAATTAATTTTTTCTTTATTTAAATTTAATTTTGTATTCTTTTTTGAGTTCATTTTCTTTTTATTTTTAGATTTTCTTGTTTTAGAAAGAAAACATTTTTCATTTCATTTCGTTTTTGGGATCTTATTTAATTTCTCTTTGTGGTTTTTTTAATAAAAACTTTTTAAGGTAATTTAATTTTTAAGTATAATTTCCTTCTTTTTTGATAATTTTTTTTCTCATTTAATTTTCTTGTATTTATTAATTTTTATGGTTTAAAAAGAAAAAAAATATATATATTTTTTAATTTAATTGAATTTTTAAAACACTTATTGCTAAAACGCGAACAGCAAAACGCTAAGACCTCTTCGTTAGCAAACCTTTCAAGATAGTTGCCAGAATTGACAATTGTCTTACGAAAGACTTTTATAAAATATCGGTACTTAGATCTAAGAAGAAGAGATAATTAGGGATAAAAGAGTGAACCGTTTAGAAATAAGATAAGTCTCTACTATAAAATTAAGGCAACCTCACATACGAAGTTTTGCATTTTCTTGATACTCGATTTTGTACTCCGAGCAAAGCTCGGTTAACCTGATTCTAGTTAGTTCAATGTAAAGATAATTTGTGAATGAATTTTGTGAAAAAATTATTTTAGAGGTAATTTGTAAAACAAATGAAAGATATGCGGTTTCTCACAATGAAGAAATTATTATTAGCATATGCTTGGGAAATATGCGCACCAGAGTTGCCACGGAAAAATTTATTTTCCTACCAAAATTGCCTACAAAAGCCAACCAAACCTATAAAATTTTTTTTCTTTGAGTTTTGAAATTTTTTTTCAATGTCAAGTTTATTAAAAATTTAGGTGGCATAACATTTAGTAAAACTAAAACACAGCTAGTACAATAAAAACTAATTAGCTGCGTTTAACAATTCTTTTTATTGTACAGACTTAACAAATGTATGTCCCTTTACACATACATATTTACACTTTGGATGGAGAAGACAATCGTTAACCAAGGTGTATCAGTCTTCAATTCATGAAGCGTAGGCAGTCACAAAAGGCTCGGGACCACGCCAGTGCATTTGGGCTCCCCCCTTTGCGAGATAGTCAGCCCTTTTGTTGCCGCAAGCTCCCTGACAGGCATAAAACGCCCTTGTAGCCTTGTTAGTAACATTCGAGAGATGTGAGTTCTAAATGAGCCTTTTGTCTAGAGTAACCCCTAGATACTTCGCCTCTTCTGAGAACTCAATTTCTGTCCCACCAACGTCGGTATAGTCAAGTTGACTTTCCTTCTTTTGAACAATGGGACAATGGGGGACTTCAGTGGATTTATTGGCAAGCCTTTTCAGCGCACCAGTCTTCAGTACATATAGATATGTAAATAATTTATCACAACTTTGTAGTTTAATTTAAATTAAATAGATAACTGGTAGGCACATAAATTATATGTGGATGTTCGCAATTATAAGGGTATGCGTTTGTACTTACGAATCAGGTATATTTACATAATTGCGGTCGACGTTCTACGAACGCGCCGGTGAAATATTCGTGTAACAAGAAGTTGCTAAACTATTTGGAGATACATTTTTTCCTTTTTTTCGCAAATAACTCTTAGTGTTGCGGTACCTACCAAAATCCATTCTAAACTACCTATCGAATGGAAAAACACCTACCAGTTTTGGTAGGAAAAGCCCATGTGTGGCAACACTGATGCGCACATACTTAAAACCAAAAACTATTGCAGCGCTTGTTTAAAAAAAAAAGTTGTTTGATTGCCTTTTCTTTTCGTGAATGCCATTTGATTCTACGATTTTCAACTATGCTTCAAGCATCACTGAAACATCACACATTTTGTTTTAATAAACCGAAAGCAAAACTAATTTCCGTTTATATAGCACAAAAGAACAATTCGAATAGAACAAAGAGGTGCATATTTCCCATTTACATATACACTCTCAATTTATGCAAAGGAATATAACATACATTCGTACGTTTTGAGATAATACGAAAAATTGGCAAATAAATGCCAACAGAACTAATCTAACGAATCTAGGGAGTAAGCTATCATATTACCAATCATACATACATGTGTACATATAGCATATGCATACATACATACATCCATTATACTAAAAATATTCACCTGAGCAAATGTAGATTTAAGTATGCACGTATGCTTGCTCATATTCACTTACTCGCCGGAACATATAGTTGCATATGTATGTATATGCATATACCATTTCATACATACATATGTACACTTTTACTTTGCACTTTGCATTAGAATTGTGAGAGTACTCATGGGTCGCCACTCGATGGTCCACAGCACGGACAGGAGCATTGCATATATGCACACATACATGTGTGTGTGTAAGTACAAAAGTTTAACTCTGTAATCCGTTGCTTTTAGTTGCAATGAAAGTAGCGGAAGATGAGAAGAATCCTTTTGGTATTCTTTGTGATGAACTACATATGGAATAGTAATTGAAGAAGAGCAAAGCGAGGCACGGGTGGTTTAAAAGCACAGCACAAGCATCATCGTAAGAAGTGAATTGAAGAGCAGCTTTACTGGATTGGTAGTCGCTATTTAGATTCATATTTGATATTCGGTTGCACCTTAAGCCTTAATGCAAATGCAAATATGTAAGAAGAATTGTGTGCTTTTGCTCTTCATATTGAATTACAAATACGTATGCGTGCAGTGTAAATGTATTTAATAAGAACTATTCATATCACTTGGAAATATGAAAACAATTTCGTCACGTAAAAGGAAGTCGAAAGCCAAAAAAAAAAAACAAATAAATAAAAAAGGGCATTTAAAACGCAGGGATTAGCTCACTGGAGTGTTCAATAAAAGTTTGTTTAGCAGATATTAGAGGTTCCACACTCATATAAGAAATCCCTGCTGGGGATTCTCCTACATTGGTCCCTATAAACTGTATAAAATAACTTCTGCCACATTAAAAACCAGAAATAAAATAACGATAATTAAATATATAGAAAAGGATACAGATAGAGTCACGGAGACTCAATCTGGGAACTATTTCGAGATTTTAGAGATTTTCGGTATTCTCGGGATTAAATAAGGATTTTCAAGACTATTTCGATATTCTCGGCGCCATTTCCATATTTTGGGGACTATTTCGGAGTTTTCGTAATATTTGTCGATCTTGTTGTCGATAGAATAATCGATATTGTTATTGATATATTTGTGAAGATATTTATGGATACTATTCTCGACATGCAAATAAATATATTTATCGAATGCTCGCACTTAGAAGATTTTGTGGGTTTTAGTTTTCTTCCTCAACTTTTAATTCTATGGAAATCATGTTTTGCCAGCCCGGCCCTTGCAGTTAAAGATTAACATTCGAGAACAAATAAATAGCACGAGTGCTAGTCCAAAGGTGAGCGTGACGACATTGATATGTGGATTAGAATAAGAATTGTGTAATACAAAATAGCAAGCAGTGAAAAAGGCGAATGCATTCAAATGAGGGCAATGCAAAGAGACCAACACAGCATACTTTTGGGCGCAATGCATGACTGGCCGCATTCTCACGCAAAACCATACCGCACGACGCAGCGGCGTTGCACATGCCAGCCGGTTGGCATGTTGCAAGATAGATAGCTGCAGTACTCGACTTTTTATTTATTTTTTTCTTTTTTCCTTGGATTGTGTAACGAAATTCAAGAGTGTGTGCAGCACAACACAAGATGCTCGAGAGCACCAAAAAAAAAAAAATGAAATAAAAAAATCAAAAAAAAAATATGAATGCATGTACTATCTGTGAGCAAGTACACTCGTATGATTACATGAGCATGTGGTTGAGTGCATTTCACTTACCGGAAGTGCAAAGCAAAACGATTGCTGAATAAGCGATAAATCCAGAAGTGTACGATGGCGAGCACACCGACGCGCTGGAGAAGGCGGACGACGGCGACGGCGGCATGCTGTTGCTGTTGCTGTTGCTTTGGCTGCAGTTTTCACAGTTTCCTTAACTCACCAATAGTGATGAGGGCTTTAGCTTTACTTGCTGCCACTTACCACTTGGTCGTGTGTGCAGATCTCTATGTATGTTTGTATTTTTGGGTAGCCCGTATTAGCGCTGAGTAATAGTTGCTGCTTCAGCAGTGGCAGCTGCATGCCATGTGGCGCGTTGATATTCAAATAAGCAAAATAAAGAACGACTAAGCAGAAGGAGCTGCCGTTTTAAATGTACGTAGTCAAAGCTGCACATTTGTGTCACGTACGTATGTACGTCGAGTAGCGTGTTTGTGGTTGTATCGGTGGTGTTTTCTTCGCTGCTTGCTCTTCTGACTGTTGAATGCTGACTACTGCCTGCTGCTTGCTGGCAATGACAGTGACGCTCAACAACCGCAGCTAGAAGTGGCACTTGCCACTTGTTTACCACACTGGGAGCCTGCGTGCGTGCGTGCTGCAATGGGCAGGCGTTAGGCGGGTGCGCCAGCAGCAGAATGCAATAAACAGGCAGTCAAATTGACTCGTATGATTTAAACAACTGTCAGCGTGGTACACTTGCTGGGGCAATAAGGTGCTCGCTGCTCGCCTGCGTGCTTTGCGCGATGACTGCCCCACCCACAAACGCTGAGTCGAGTGCGTGCGTCGTTCGCCTGCACTAGTCTTATAATCTGTATGTATTTGCGCGCTGTGTGCACTTCATTTGCACTTACCGCAAATCTTTAGCAAACGCACACGCACACAAGCACACACGCACATAGACAGAGCGAGAGGCAATGAAAGAAGAAATCACTTTTTAGTTTTCAGTTTTCAGTTTTCAATTTTCACTTTTCCATCTACATTTAGTACTCAACACTTTTGCAGCCTAACACTCAGCTCAAAAAAAAGTCGTCTTGCTATGCGCACAGCAAATGCAATCAATGTGTGAATTGGTTTCCAGTTGCAAATGCTGTTTACTTACGCCACGCAGCTGTTTTTTTTTTGTTGTGTTTACCTTTTTTGTTTGTTCACTATTTACACTACATTCTCGAAACGCGGTGAGGCACTCAGTTTTTTTTCCGTTTGCCACGAAAATGATTCCTCGCAGCAAAAGTGCGCCAAAGCCGGACACTAAAATCTGACAGCAAGCCTTGTGTGCATAAAGCTTTTCCTTTACACTAACAACAAATCCACACTTTTAAACGATATATGCCGAAAGCGCCGAATGAGCGCCGAAAGGACTATGCAAATGCCAGGCGCGCGTTGCAAGAACTCAACTCCTTTCACATGCAAATTTTAATTTCCTCTTCTTGCTTCCTACGACTTTGATGTGGCGCGCTGATGGCAGCGCGTGGGGGCTGAGCAGGATTGAGGAGTGGTGTGTGACGCGCAACGGGATGTGTGGAGGTTGGGTAGCATTTCTGGTTCTGCCACAAAAACGCTGTTGATGAAAAGTGAATGGGTTTTCTGCTGCTGCTGCGGCTTCTCAAATACTTGTACACACTAATGTTGCCGCAATGCTCGCTGGCTGTTGTATATCAGTTGCACTTGCATGACTATGACAGCAATGGACACAAGTTGCATGCTTCATTTCCGCCAATATTTTCACTTCTTTTTCTGGGCACACCGCTACGGCACAGAGTGTAGGCAGCACTGCTATGCAACTTTGGCGTCAATAATTTTGACAGCGTTTTTTTTTTATTTCCGCTTTTCTACTAGTCAGCAGCTAAAGGAGTTTTTTGAAGCGCCAACCACCACAAATGCACTCGTTCGATTGCGCTTTTTCGGCTGACTTTTCTTCTACATTCTCTTCGTTTTCTACAATTTCTGTTTACGTTTTTCTGCCTTTCATACCTTCCTCAGTCTGCCATTAATGTTCGGTGCGGCAAGCTTTGCTTTGTTGTTGCTTTTGCTTTTTGTGATTGCCGGCTATGAAATTGCAGCTGCTGCAAATTTGCTTTGTAGCCACATCGACAGCTGCTGCCATGCCGGTGGCATCGGTGACCGCGATTGCACCGCTACAAAGAGGGCAACTTGCTGTGCGCGTGAAAATTTGTGGTCAGTTGTGGGTGCGGGAATTTCAAACTTGACTGCATACGATTTTTTCACTGCTCACTAACGCGGCGCACAAATTCACAAACGGTATGCATTTAGAGAGCGAGGGGAAAAGAATCACTAAAAATCTACAAATAACAAGTAAAATCCGAATGCAGTTATCACTCGCGCCTAAAAGGCCAGCTGTCACAATTCACGTCACGATTTCCGTTTCGCATGTCCTGTTGGCAGTGCGAGCAACGTCAAACTGAATTTTTCATTGCCAGTCGAAGCCGACAAAGGACCCTGTGGTCCGCATACAAACAGAGGGACGTGAAAGTTAAAGCAAAATATGGGTTTTTAGCTGCGTTCTTGGCATATCCCACTATTGTGCGCCTAAAAGCGCGCTACGCTCAATTACTTACCCTGCTTCGGCTTGCTATCCGTGCTTGCGCTCTTTTTACTCTCCCTCTTTGCTCTTTTGCTCACTCATACCTCACTCATTTTTCGCCTAGCTGCTCTCTTATACGGTTTGTTTTGATTTTGCACGCTGCCAAACCGCAACTGACAGCCGAAACCGTTTGTTATCACAAGCCGCTGTGGCACCGCACGTCGGTCGCCAATCACACACACACACACACACACTCACATAATCATGCGGCGCGGCAACCGGCTCGTGTGCTGGCATTATCCTCGTGCGAGCACGTTGCCTTTTGGTCGCCACCAGCCAGTGAGGCAGGCAAGCAGCTGTTGGCAGTTCCGGTACAGCGCCTGCGTCATACCCAATTTCGTTTTCAGCGAATTGCAAAGCGTTGCGTACACGTGCCGCCGTGCACGCCGCCACGTAGGTTGGGTGGGAGGCTAGAACTTGCAACTTTGTGACTGTGACTGTGACTGTGGCTGTGGTGTTGGGCGCAATCCTTACGCCTGGGTGCGTGAGAGTGTCTCAGCTAAGCGATTGTGTCAGAGGTGGTGTGGGTGTGTATGTGTGCGTGTTTTTTGCTATTGTTGTCTGCTTGTTTTTGCACAAATATAACTAAGTATTTCTAAATGTCTGTTGGTGCGCTTAGCAGCGCTTCATTTGTGTGTGTGTGTGTGCTTGTTGGCTGCTTAGCGTAGGCGCTGGCCGGATCTTATTGGTGCGCCTGCAGGCCTCATATTTTTGTGTTTTGTTTTTTTTTTTTTTTTGTTTTGAGATTCTCTTCATATTCCCATTTTGACATTCACATTTTATTTGATATGCTTTGTCTTACGCTTCATTTTGTGGCCATAATAGTTGCGTTCACACATACATAGATGTATTTGAATAGCTCGGCGGAATTGTGTGTGTGCGTGTGTGTTGCTTTTCGTTATCCTCTGACTTTGCATTGGCAAATTTCGCTCGATTTTATAAGCGTAAATTAGATTGTCAGCGTAAATTGTTAGTCACTGTTGCTGTTGCAGCAGGCACTGCCACAAACGCAAACTTTGGCTAAATTCAATTTGAAAGATTTTTATCTGATTTTAGTTGCACTTTAGCACAGCACAGAGATACGAGTACAAAACAAAAAAATATCACTCATACGCCCCAACGGTTAGTTTTCGTGTGGATATCGCAACAACCGATGGGGTGAATCAGCTACCACCTTTGTACCACCGTAAATTAAAGCATTTGTTTGAAATTTAATGCCACACAAATTACTCAGGCCAAGTGCTGCCTTTCATAGAACTGAATCAAATTAAATTGAATAACTGAATCGTGTAATTGTAGTGTTGCGCGCGACTTATGTACACGAATGTGCAGCAACCGCGTTAACCAACACTATAATTTTCTATTCAACACAAACTCAATTGAAAAATGCACCATTTCCCGGCGCGTGCCTTTCGAATATAAAACAAACGCTAACCAAAAGCAATAATTTAAATTACATTATATTTATTTTGGTTGTAAAAACAGCAAAGCATAGGCTATAAAATAGCAGCTCGGCTAACAGCAACATTATCTATTTCAACTAAACGTAAATGCATAGCAATGCCACTGTGTGCAGGTTTAACTGCCTACTAAGTGAAAAAAAAGTTAAGGTTTCTGAGCAACCCATCATAAAAAAAAACACATAAAATAATTCTCACAAAAAAATACCCCTTCAAAACTGTGCAACTTGAGTTGAAGTTTACTTGCAACATACGAAGCAACTTACCAATTCTTTGAATTCCTATCTATAATCTTTCAGAGCTTTAAATTTGATCGTATCAAAAGTGAAAATACATAAATAGCTGAAGGTTTTTATCCGTATAAAGAAAAACAGTGTTGCCCTACAAAACAACTAAACTATGAGCGGCCTTAAACTCGCACTAAAAAAACTGGCCAGTAGTTTAAACTTAGTTGAAATTTAAACTGAGTTGAACTAAAACTGAGTTTAAACCAGCACTCAAAAAATGGCCCTCAATCGACCGCAGTCTCCAAGATGTTATCGCCTTACAGCCCTTCAACTAGGCGTTTTGATTACTCTTTTTTCTGATGGCGTACACATTAATCCTTGAAAATTTTTCACAATAAAGGTTCATATTAAATTTACTCTTAATAGATG